TCTTAGTAATGGCGAATAAAGTCATAAATTTAATGTCCGCGTTCTTAGAATTCTTAGATCTTGCACCTTAAACACTCGAAAAAATGTGGCTGGTTTAGCTCGAACGTTTGGTTTGGAGTGCCTACTTTATGGTTTTATTTTGGGCTTCGCCACTGCCGTTGTATGGCGTTACAACAAAAGACCAGGCCTCCTGAGAAGTTCACCGCTGAAGGTGGGGTAGAACCTAACTAAACCAGCTAAACGTTATCCTGAAAGGAAAGAACACTGTACGCCGTGTTTAGTTAAATTATAGCCTCGTTAAAATATTGGATACACACTTTTGTTTTCCTCAAATCTGTAATCACCAGGCAAAAAATTGTGTTCAATAGCGGAGAGATAGAAAACAACTTGCATTCGAGAGAGGATTCTTTACTTTGTGTTAAGTTCAATTATAAACTTCGTTCAGATTTGAATGGGAAAACTTCCTCAAATCTGTTCGATTTTTATCAAAATATTATTTCTTGTTCGCATCTTGTTTCTGCTGTCTGCTGACATCTGTCCATATATATGTCCTGACATCTGCCTTGACATCTGTCCTGACATCTGTCCTGACATCTGTCCTGACATCTGCCCTGACATCTGTCCTGACATCTGCGCTGACATCTGTCCTGACATCTGCCCTGACATCTGTTCTGACATCTGCCCTGACATCTGTACTTTGGTTTAAAACAACGTGACGCGCTTGCTTACAAAACCATAACATGTGTGTGTGTGTGTGTGCCTGTGTGTGCGTGCGTGTGTAAGTGCGTGTGTATGTGTGTGTGTGTGTGCGTGAGTGTGTGTGCGTGTGCCTGTGTGTGCCTGTGTGTATGCGTGTGTGTGTGTGTGTGTGTATGCGTGTGTGTGTGTGTGTGTTTAATTTATTCCATGACTCTGATAACAGTTTCTTTAGACTGCAACGCAAACCAACTAAAACTGTCGACACCCGCCTGAACGAAATATTTTGTGACATGCATTCGTTGGTGGTGTTGTTGTTGTTGTTGTTGTTGTTGTTGTTGTTGTTGTTGTTGCAGATTTTATTTTCTTTATAATGTGGGACCGTACGACTTTTGCAAGGTTTTTTAATTTTTTTTTTAAACTCTGTTTATTACATTGACGTGTTTAATGTCTTCATTATAACCAACCGCTAAATAAAATACTTATTGTATTGTTCTAACATAAATAACCTGACATATGGGAGGGAGAAAAGCCATTCCGCAAAATATGAACTATTTTCTGCTTACTGATCTCAAAAAGTAGTCGGGGGGTTGGGGGGGGGGTATTTAAAGGTTAGAGTTTTTACTAAATAACTTGAATTGCACTCCCCCCCCTCCCCCCACACACACCCACACACACATTTTTTACATCTTGGTCATTAAGTACAAAATGTTAGAGGCGCTATATTACCACGTATCTTTAAAAGATTGATTTGCTTCTATATTTATTGAAAGTCTTTAGAAGATTCATATTTCAGTTTGTATCGTAACTTGCAGGCAATCAACAGTACGTCTGGTTGTTGTGGTTGTTTTATTTTAATTTCTATTAAAGCTTCTAATGATGAGTTTGAAACTATTCTTCATTGAAACTATTCTTCATTGAAACTATTCTTCATTGAAACTATTCTTCATTGAAACTATTCTTCATTGAAACTATTCTTCATTGAAACTATTCTTCATTGAAACTATTCTTCATTGAAACTATTCTTCATTGAAACTATTCTTCATTGAAACTATTCTTCATTGAAACTATTCTTCATTGAAACTATTCTTCATTGAAACTATTCTTCATTGAAACTATTCTTCATTGAAACTATTCTTCATTGAAACTATTCTTCATTGAAACTATTCTTCAGCCGCTGCACCTCAGCCATAACATTCGTTTTTCCCGAATGTCGACGTCCTAAGGCCACAATCACACCGGGTCGCCATATTAACGAAATCTTAGACTGACATACGAGACCGATGTTTCGGTAGAGAAATTCGCCAGACGGCTCACGTTGCAATCGCCATAGGTCGACCATCTTGTTTGCTCATCATGACAGCCTTGACCTTCTAGCCCTGTGACTGGCGTCGAGCACTAGTCAAACTTATTTATCCTTGCAAACTAAAAATAAAATTAAAAAAATTAAACTATATAATAGCTTACAATAATTATTTCTCGTGCAAATTAAAATAATATATTGTCACTGTAAGTAAAATGTTACATTCTAAATTTAAAAAAATTTCGAAGGGAACAATATTTATTATTTGTTATTTTATTTTGCCTTTGACGATTCAGACGACCGAAATTCGCTGGAATCCGTCCATTGAGAAAAGACTGTGCTCGACTTTGACTTTGCTACTGTCAGTGTCCACCCTTCGTTGGTGCTTCTATTTTTTCTACCCATTTCTCTCTCAGGATAAGTGTATTTAAATTCGGATCCTTTCACAAGTAACTATAAGTAAATAGAAATACAGGTCCATTCACATGTGAGAATAAGTGGATAGAAATCCAGGTCCATTTATGTGTCAGGATAAGTGGATAGAAATTCAGGTCCACTTTTATGTAAGTATACATCTATACAAATTCAGGTCCATTTATGTGTCTGGATAAGTGTGTAGAAAACGGGTTCATTCATATGTCGGGATAAGTGTATAGAAATACAGGTCCATTTATATGTCAGGATATGTGTATAGAAATACAGGTCCATTGAGAATGAAGCCTCACACAAAGCTTATCTAGTTATTGACAATAATAAATTAAATTTTTGCTGTTGTTTTATTACCATAGGTTGGCTCAGATATGAAGTTCGTAGAAGAGCGCACCAAAGAGCGAAAGTCTACGCTAGCGCTGCTGTGCCGTAGGCATCGCCTGCTGGCCGGATGCTTCATCTCCGTCACAGCTCTCCTGTTGGCCGGCTTCACGCTGAAACCACCCACTTACACACCTACGGCCAGTCCGGATTTTCGAGAACTTTTGCAAAATTTAGAAATGGAAAATTCCGATCTGCTGCGCAAAGAGGGCATCGACATGGCGCACGTGATACCCGCCATGAGGGTGTTGACAAACATCTCGAGGACGCTGGGTCTCACATATTCACAATCTCAACCTAATCCATTGTTGCTCAACATTTTATCTAAATTAGATCGTATACGAACGAATGAGACGACCGATCAAAGTGGCTCGTTTAAGCCATCCGCTGATAGTGACAGTGAAAACAATGCAGATTCGCAGCTCAACAGCTGCCAAGCGTCTCTAGAGGAACTCGCCGCCATGTATAAAGTCCCCGGCGTCAGCTGTGAGGAGGTGATCCTCGGAGATCAGTCCGCCATGGCCGCGGCGCTGAACGCCACCAAGACGATGAAGAGAGAACTCTTGCCCAACGAGTATTACCTCAGCCTCACACAGAATTGCGACGGCTTCAAAACCTCGCGGGGATACGTCACGTGCCCTCTGACCCAAGAGGAATCGGAATTCCCGATCGCGTATTCCATTGTGACGTACAAGGATATCGAGATGGTCGAGCGATTGCTCCGCGTCATCTACAGGCCTCAGAACTTTTACTGCATCCACGTGGACAAAAAATCAGAGAAGGACTTCCTGAGGACCATGAGGAGCATCTCGGGATGCTTCGATAACGTGTTTTTAACCTCTGACCTGGTCGATGTGAAGTGGGGAGAGTTCAGCGTCCTGGAGCCGGAGATTATATGCATGAAACTCTTGTGGAGCCACAAAAAATGGAAGTACTTTATTAACTTGACGGGTCAGGAGTTCCCACTGAAGACGAATTTTGAGTTGGTGAAGATTCTCAAGGCCTACAACGGGGCGAATGACCTCGAAGGGACAGTTAAGAGGTATATTACAATGTGGTCCTTTTTTTTAACGGGGAGGGGGGGGGCTAGGGGGAGGGGGGCTGGTGGGAAATCTATCACTGGGAGTCCCTGTCGGGTTGTGGATTGGACTATTCACGCATGACTGAAAAATTTCTCATAATTTTGGTGCCGCACATTCACAATGTTCGTGGTCTGTGGTCGGTTTGTGGAATTTTTCTGGAGTCCCGATTTTCATCTGTGTAAGTTCCCAGTTTTTAAAATGTTTTATCCGTTTCCATTGAGTTGTGTGTACATTTTTCTTTAACTTAATTGGTACTTAGTTTTAATATTTGAAGTCATGACTGCAGATTTAGATGTGAAAAAAAATCTAATTGAGTCCAGGAAACAAGTTCAAACTAAGACTATACACCATATATGATATGCTGTAAGTTGATAATGTTGCCTTATTTACAGTAAGCCTGTACGACCCTCGTCCCCGCCCACCTACCTATCTCGTGAGTGTTATCGACGCAAGTCTACCGAAAGGTAACCACGACCCACATCGCGTCAGCCGTTGAGCGCGTGACGCTGGTCATAAACACGTGCTAATCTCTGGGAGGTCGATCAGGATTTATTTGCAACAACAAGAACACACAAAAAAAAAAAAAAAAAAAAAAAAAAAAAAAAAAAAAAAAAAAAAAAAAAAAAATAAAAAAAAAAAAAAAAAAAAAGAAAATCGAGTAAAAATGATCTTAAGAATTTTTAAAGTATTAAGATCATTTTTAATCGATTTTTTAACCCTTTGACGTCATTCAAATCGATAGCCGCCCAGACCAACGATGTCAACGATTAGTCGGCGAATCCTTTAAGCTTGCTTACCCACATTGGGTTTCGTCCATACTACTTCCTTCCATCTCTGTGGCGCTACAGCTCACGTAGGGGGCTTTGGCCTGGCTCACCACGTCCTTCCACTCCGACCTAACTAATGCTTTTACTTTTCCATGCTTGGATTCCCAGCTAATGTAGATCTTTTCCCCCACATCATCCATCCATCTAAGCCCGGGCCTGCCTCTGAACGGGTTTCCTCTTGGGGGTTTTGGTTGTGCACCCTCTTCACTCCTCTGCCATTTGGCACTCTCTTAAAGTGTCCTGCACAGCGTAGCCTGTCTTTAAAAAAAAAGAATTATTTCCGCTACCCTCTGTGGGATCCTGATATTGACTGTGAAATTCTTGGTTTGTTCGTATTCTCCATTAATTTTTTTATACCATTAATATACTTTTAAAAAGTAACTTTGAACCACATGGTTTTCAAATGAACTCATTTGTTGACTAGGTATTTAAAAATACCAAAACGTGAAAAAGGCGTACAGCTTCGGACAATGAAGCAAATGAATGAGAGCGTTTCATGACGTTCATCAACTAGGCTTCTGTCTCGCGGCAAGGAAACAGTGGAACAAGCTTTGTGCAAGTCTCAAATATAACAAGAGGACAATAAAAAGATAACTTTTTGGCTAAGAACTTTTCCCCAGCAAAAAAATGCGGAAAAAAAAAAACAAGAAAAAAAACCCAACCTTTGAAGAGTTTTCTATTTCTTATATATTTTTTAAATTTGTCCTGAAGAAGGCGGTAAAGAGCGGGTTGATTGGTGTAGTTTGGGTCAACTGGTCTAGCCGGCCAGAACCTTTCGGTTGAGATGTTCGGTCGAGCGGCACGTTGGTCCGACCGTCTGAGAATCGCTGTTGTAGATAAACCTCCGAGTATCTTTCTAACACCACCAACATCATCAATGGCACTACAGCCCAGGGTGGTTTGCTTGTGACCATTGTCTTTTCAATTTGAGACCCTCGGCGTAATCAAAACTCCATACGAAATAAGACCTGAAAAAGAAAAAAACAGCACCGCTGTGCTCTAACACCGCAAAGCATCCATTGCTCCCTACAAAGCATCCAATGCTCCCTACAAAGCATCCATTGCTCCCTACAAAGCATCCAATGCTCCCTACAAAGCATCCATTGCTCCCTACAAAGCATCCAATGCTCCCTACAAAGCATCCATTGCTCCCTACAAAGCATCCAATGCTCCCTACAAAGCACCCAATGCTCCCTACAAAGCATCCAATGCTCCCTACAAAGCATCCAATGCTCCCTACAAAGCATCCAATGCTCCCTACAAAGCATCCAATGCTTCCTACAAAGCATCCAATGCTCCCTACAAAGCATCCAATGCTCCCTACAAAGCATCCAATGGTCCCTACAAAGCATCCAATGCTCCCTACAAAGCACCCAATGCTCCCTACAAAGCATCCAATGCTCCCTACAAAGCATCCAATGCTCCCTACAAAGCATCCAATGCTCCCTACAAAGCATCCAATGCTCCCTACAAAGCATCCAATGCTCCCTACCTACCACCTACAGTTAAGTTGAGCACTTGGATTTGTATTTAGAGAACATGGGTAGTTTATTTTCAAAATTTTCACTGTCCTACTGTTGTTTGTTCGCTGAAGAAGAAGGCTTCTTGCCGGAAGGTCAGTTCTGTTATTGCGATTTTTTTCCATACTTTGTTTCGTTCATTTCTTTTTTGTATAACTCTACAGGGCAAACAATTACAGATGGAATAACTCCCCCCCACCCCGTGGACTCCGACCAGTGAAAGGATCAGTGCACATCACAGTCAACAGGTACAGCTTTATACATTATTATTATTATTTATTATTATTAAAGTGGTCTTATATAGCGTGGTACCCTAGCCTGGGGGCTGGGCTCACCGCGCTTCATTTTCAAATATTAGCAAAATATAACATGACATTAAAAAAAAAAAAAGTTACTTATAAATTTATTTAATTTAAAAAAAAAACAACAAGTTTTATTAAAAAAGAAAATTGACCCCGCCCACCCAAGAACTAATTTCCATGTCCGGCCATGGACGGCACCCAGCAGCATCGTTTATCGTTTAACGGGTCCAGCTAAACACACACACACAAGTGAACGCGTTGTGTTTGATTGTTCACGTGACAGCTAACGGGTAGAGGTGGGCGTGTAATAAGGAAATGAGTGAAACAGAGTAGGGGTAATAAACAGGGGGGAGGATGGGGGGGGGGGGGGGGGGGGGGGGGGGGGGGGGGTGGACGCTGTCCTCTCGGATACTAAAATGCATGTAAGTGTTTATTTTTAAGTTTAAAAACCGCAAAGCCTCAGATGTTTCCCACCCGCCGCCTACAGTTAAGTTGAGCAGACGGCAAAGCCTCAGATGTTCCCACCTGCCGCCTACAGTTAAGTTGAGCAGACGGATCTGCCGATCAAGGAGATGGGTGTTATTTAAATTTTTATGTTATATAGTTTTACTGTTGTTTGTTCGCCGAAGAAGGCTTCTTGCCGATACGTTCGTTGTTTTGCGACGTCATTTTTCGTTTGTTTCAGGTTTTACTATATTTTGTTTCGCTCATTTCCATTCACCTAATCTGATCGCAATCTCTGTCCCCTTTATTATGCGTAAAAATATCATTTAAACATATTGCCTAAAGGGGTAAACCATAATTGAAATTGAAATCAATCAATCAATATGTCTCAATATTTGCAATGCAGTCAAAACTAATTTCCATTTAGTCGGATCAATAGAGCAATATGTTCTTTTCATATTGGAAATTTGCAGTTGCAGTTTAAAAACAAACTCCCCCCCCCCTTACACTTTTTTTTTTCTAATTCAAGGGAAGCCACATTTAAAAAATTTTCTCAGGGTTTTTTTTTAAATTTGTTTTTATTCTTTTCATATTGGAAATTTGTAGTTTCAATTTAAAAACAAACTCCCCCCCCCCCCCTTACACTTTTTTTTTTCTAATTCAAGGGAAGCCACATTTAAAAAATTTGCTCAGGGTTTTTTTTTAAATTAGTTTTTATAATCACCTCCCCTGAACAGTAATTGTCAATTCTGTAAGAGCTTGTCAGGAGATCTGACATCTTTAACTTGACCATTTTCTGAGAATGTGATTCATGTATCCGCCAGAACAGCTGAACGGTGGTGTCATAGAGAGTTCAATAAGTAAATGACAGACAGTTACAGCTCATCTGTCAAGCTTGAGACAAGCAGCATATATAACAAAGACGCAAACGTTTCGATTAAGCTAATCCATGGTATCCCATTAGACCCTGATGAATATTTTTTTAAAGACTCTTATTGAACGCAGCTGTTGGGAATTTTATATCGTTAAAAACCAGTGTCATCTTAGTTCCTTGATCTTACACTTGAAAAACAGGAAATACTTATTTTAGGGAGGTTGGGTTCGGGAGTAGCGCTGAAAATTTTGATAGAATATGTTGTCATCGGCAACGAGTCTATATGCCATGTTTCAGCTCGATAGGTTGGCGGCAAGTGGGCCGCTTTGCCGTCCCAAGATTTTTACCTTAACACCCAAAATCGAATTTAGTATAAAGGATTTTAAAAAAAGAGTATATCAGAGATGATGAAACGATCAGAAAAACTGTTTGTTATGTAATTAATTTGTTTTTGAATATATCAATGATCTTTTAAAAAATATCTCTCAACGTTACTGTATCACACCTATGGCTGCATTATTTGAACAGAGACTTCGTCGACTACATCCTTCACAACGATACGGCTCAGGAGTTGCTGGCGTGGGTGAGAGGCACGGGGGTTCCAGATGAGACGTTCTTCGCCACGCTAAACCACAACCCACAGCTGGGCATTAGGGGCTCTTACAAAGGTGGGTTTTAATTAGGGACACTTATCAAAGGTGGATTTTAATTAAGGACACTTATCAAAGGTGGGTTTTAATTAGGGACACTTATCAAAGGTGGGTTTTAATTAGGGACACTTATCAAAGGTGGGTTTTAATTGGGGGCACTTATAAAGTTGGGTTTTAATTTGGGGCACTTACAAAGGTGGGTTTTAATTAGAGGCCCTCAAAAAGGTTAGTTTTTGTTTCGAGACATATCTGATCCCATTGTTTCAAATGAAAGTTCAAGTTCAAGCCCTAATCTCAATCCATTGGTTAATACTGTAGTATGGAACGTTGTCAATCTGCACCGATGATCTACATTCAGATTAAGGTTTGACAAGAAATATGAAAAGTACTAAGAATGTGGATGGAAAACCAACAACAACAAAAAAATTAATAATTTAAAGTTAAATAATGTAGAATCTTGTTCACCTATCTCGTTATTGTATCTTTTTCCCGTATCTTGTGCACGTATCTTGTTCACGTATCTTGTTCACGTATCTTGTTCACGTATCTTGTTCCCGTATCTTGTGCACGGATCTTGTTCACGTATCTTGTTCACGTATCTTGTTCACGTATCTTGTTCACGTATCTTGTTCACGTATCTTGTTCACGTATCTTGTTCACGTATCTGTTCACGTATCTTGTTCACGTATTGTTCAAAATTTCAATTTTTCTCAAAGTCGTCGGCCCTGCTGTACAGCTAGTGTTTAAAGACATATTAATTCCCTTTTTTTTTTTTCATTTTTATTGCAGGTGACCCGGAAACAGAATCATCAGACTCGATGGTGAAACCTTTTCTGACCAGGTTCAAAAACTGGGGTTCGGACCCATTTAAATTTCACTGCGCTGGACAGCATGTTAGGGGTATTTGTATACTTTCTACGGGTAAGTTGGTCAGAGGCCAAAGCATTTTTTTTTGTCAGCTGTATTTGTATACTATTTACATGTCAGTTTTATTCTTGTGACCTTGGCACAAAATCTAATGACTTCACCAAAATTGTCAGAATTTACAGAATATCGAAGCATCTCGAAGACATTTTAATTTCACGTCAGACTTTTCATCTGGCATCAGACGTTTCATTTACTCACTTCTGACTTTTTCCCATGAAATTGTTCCAATTCATTTTTTGTAAACGATGACATTGACCCTAAGATTCCAAACAGTTTGAATTGCAAACAGTCCTTGAAACGTTCCTTTTATGTTTACCAGGTGACCTGCCCCAACTAGGTCAAGCCAAGCACCTGTTCGCCAACAAGTTCTACCTGCACGAGGACAAGGTCGTGATTGGTTGCCTTGAGGAGAAGCTGTTCAACAACACAAGGGACGAGTACTCTGGAACCTTACAGTTCAACACGACGTACTACAGCAACCTGGGGTTCGTCAAAGATCAAGTGACGTAGTAGGACAAGGGAGGCCACTAGAATAACACGACGCTTGGACATTGTAGGACAGGGAAAGTCACTGGAATAATTCGTGTCAATTTAGTCGAAAGAGGTGGTTGTTTTTTTTAAACATCAATCATAGTATATTTTTTTTAAAAATCAGATTATTAACACCACTCAAGTCCAAACCCAGGGACATGCCTGGAGATTTTGAAAACGTGTAACTCGTAGACTTCGGGATAAATTCGTTTGAGGGACGAATTGACGAAGGAATTGAATAAAACTTAAACTATAGAAGAGAAAGAAGTAGATATAAATAGCAGGTATCAGAATCATTTCTCGAAAATAATCTCTAAGCTGAATGGGTTAAAAGTATTAGACTAAGAACAGAATCAAGGGCAGTAAGAGTGAAATTACAGCAAATGTCGTAAAGGGATAGTGATCCTTGGGAAGTGATCATCAAATGAAGTCATGTTTAAATACTTCTCACTTTGATCAATATCAACATGTATAAATATCGTTTGTAACAATGTCATCAACGCTTACAGATGGCGTTGATTTGATGAAATAAATGTAACGATAGCTGCGCTAAATCTTTAAATGAGAAATGAGATTCCTAAAATGACCTCAAGTGTGCTTGGCGCATAAACTTTTGTGTTTTGTTTTTTGTTTTACGGACATAATCTCAATTTTATTGTGGCGTAATAAATCTGCGGTAGTAGAAGTGGGTGGGGACATACGAATAAGAATTAGTGTTCATGGGCGTGACCAAAGTGGGCGTGACCGAAGTGGGCGGTTGTAAAACCTGATTATTTTTTTTAAACAATTTTTCTTTAAGGGGTGGGGAACACTTATTGGAATAAAATGGTTTATTTGATGAGCACTCCGTATCGGAAAATACATATAGGTTACAGACCAGAAGTGATACAATATTAGCTTTAAGACCAATGAAAAAATGTTTGTCACTTTCTCCTGCAACACACATTCTACTGGGAGGGGTGTGAGCATCTTTATGTGAATAACCATTTATTTAAATCCGATAATAATACAGTCGTAAAAGAGAATTTTTTTTTTTTTGTTAAATTAAAAAAATAAAATAAATACGAATTATTATAATTGCGGAAAATGGTTGTTGTCAAATTGAACACACTAAAAAAAAGTACATAGCCATACCTGCAAACTCAAGGAAGTTGGTAAGGAGAAAATAATACGATTTTGTTGAAACTAAGAACATAGTAGGTTTTTTTTTTATTACGCCAAATATACAATTCAGAGGCGAAGATAAGCGGCGGGCCCATATTTATAAGGATAACACCATGTTTGTTTTTTTTTAAATGTATAGTGAAAATTTTGTGAAAATAAAATTAATTGTGGCAAGATTTGTTATGTAACAATAACATTTGGATAACAAAGACAATATCTAAAAACCCAATAATTTTACTGATTTGAAAATTATTTATTTTTTTTTTTAAATAGCTATACACTTTTCTTTTTCATTTCCTGAAAATACAATTCAAGGTTTGGACAACCAAGGGTTAAAGATTTTATTTAAATATGAGCAAATATTTGGGTTTTTTTTTTTTTTTTTTTTTTTATTTTTACTTCATTCTGTTTTTGAGGCATGGGGGTTTTTCATGGGCCTTTGAATAGGTTTTTTTTTTTTTTTTTTTTTTTTTTTTTTTTTTTTTTTGGTGCTTTGGGTATTTTTAATGGGCTTTAAAATATTTTTTTTTTTTTTTTTTAAACACAAGGCTTTTCCAAATGTGAGAACTGGTTACGAGATGAGCATTTAAATATGAGTATTATTTTCTGTTAAAATGATTTACCGATACTATAGATCAGGGGCAAGGTAGAGGTTGAGTCAATTTTAAAAGAAGATTTCAACATAACAAAATCTCGTAATGCTACAGCTATTTAAAATGGTATATATATTTGTTTAACGTTATGATATTATTTTTTTTTTTAGAAAATACGTTTTCTTTGCAGATCAGTGGTACGAAAAGGGCTTGGCTATGGCTATATTATTTATAAGAAGGCACAACATCACAAACCCAGTGTTTTAAGAAACGTAAATATCTACCCAATTATTCTTCTTTAAAAATTAAACAAAAGTCCGATTTACTACTTCCTAGATATACATTTCAAGTGCGTGGAAAATTGTACAATTTCAAAATATATAGATTTTCAACAACAAAAAAAAGATCTAAATTAATACTTGATTTTCTTCATCTTCTATATCTTAAGGGCCCACGATCAATTTATTGATCATTTTGGCTTATATCTTTTAGTTATGATATATTGTACACAGATTACTGTCGTGGAAAAAAAAAAGATTTTCAGTACAACTTCAGATTAATTATTTATTAGTGCTGATAATTTATTTTTCTTCTCAAGTATTTATTAATGTGAATACGAATACTGTACTGTGTGAAAATAAGTATCCTCCATTGTTTAAAATATATTTATATTGTATTTATTTTCTTAGAAGAAAATTATCTTTGTCGCTGTTGAACTGTCTATAATATTGCACTGCCTAACAACTTGCAATCTATAACATTCCATTGACATAAAACATTCCATGAATAACATTCCATTGAAATAGTACATTCCATGAATTTGTCTGCCTTCTATGTTCTTACCACGCCTTGTGTAACTTCAAAACTTATTTTAGCAGGCTACTTTATAACTGCTCCCATGCCTTACCTTCAGTCTGTGTATACTGGTTCAATGGCTGTCTTGACATGTATATATATTCTCCATCTGCGATAGGATCTTATTTCCATTTTAAAAAATGAGGACATCGCAACAGTTACATTCCTATCTCTTTTTTTCCACAATATCTCTTTCTGTTTTACCTCTATCACTATTACTATCCTTCTTGATGGATGCTCCATCCTCCATTTATATGATACCATTGAGTTTCTGCTGTAATTATGTTATTGAAGTTGTTGATTCTGTATATCACCGCACACTGTGGTCAGACTGTGACAACCGCACACTGTGGTCAGACTGTGACAACCGCACACTGTGGTCAGACTGTGACAACCGCATACTGTGATAAGACTATAACCACAGCATACTGTGGTGAGACTGTGACCACCGCATCCTGTGGTGAGACTGTGACCACCGCACACTGTGGTGAGATTGTGACCACCGCAAATTGTGGTGAGACTATTGACCACCGCATACAGTGGTGGCATTATGACCAGTATTACTGTTACATTCCATGAGGATAAGAGCGAAAGAGAGTCATTGTAAACTATACACAAGTCACTTACGCTTTTGTTTTCTTCTTGTATCAACATGATATTATGATGACCCTGTATTTTTTATGTTACGATGTATTATGTCATATTGTACACAGGACAAAATTGTAGGACCAAATTGTAATGGGATTTAATGAAAGTTTGAACAGTGAAAACCAAAAAAAGACCAATAATAAAATATACAACTTTTAATCCAATCAAAACATCGCATTAATGGTCTGTCTAAAAACAGATGTGTCGTATTGCATGTTTCTGTTTTGAGCAATGTCTCATGTCTGTGTCTATGGTGATAAATGTCTATTGTCAGTGTCAAATGGTGAGCAATGTCTATATGTCTGTACATTTTAAAAATTCATCTTTAAACTGAGAAGTATTTCAGCTATTGTCCGGTGCCCTGCTCACCATGCAGATGTGGGGGTCGCCTGGGGGCACCAACGTTTGCTGGCACCCGTCCGTCACAATGTGACGATGGAGTGGGCTTCGGAGGACGAGATCCACATGGCCTGGGGTTATTCCTCAAGGATTATAAGTTGGTTCCCAACAGCGAATCGTCTCTCTCCACGCCGCTGGAGAACCCAAGGGAACCATCATTGGATGATGCAGCTTGGCACCAGTGGCGTCGCAGGAGTTGTCGGAATGTTTCATTGTACCATTGTTATCCGCCTTTCGGGATTCCAAGGCTAACGAGTCCCATCCACCCGGGGTGCTGGTGTTGTTTTTGCGTGACTGGGCTCTGGCTGGAATTACACCATCCAACTCCAGACCACCAACTTGAGATATGCTCCGTTTAGTCCTCTTGGCCACCCAGCACCCTAGTTAACATCTAAAAAAAACCAAATAAACTTTCAACATTGAAAGCAGTGGAAGCAAAACCACAAGAAGAGTTGGAGGGCCTCCTAAAGTCTTCACAAAAGGGCTCTGCTAAATAACAAGAATATTAGTGATGTTAGATACTGAGAAATCGATCTTCGGAACTCTACTTTACTCTATGGAAATATGCAACAATATTTTTTTTTTGTATGTGTATTGCCATATAAGTATAAAATATGTGTAGCCGTGTGCCGAGTGGGAAGAAAGTTTTAAATTTAGTTTGCAAATCCAAGGGAAATGAGATCTCGGGAAGGATAGCTATTTTTGTTGTTCTTGTGTGGTAACCAGAAGTAGAAAATGAATAAAGACGCGATGAAGCGGCCAGGCGCGACTGCTGGACTGACTTAGGAAAAGCTTGCCCCCCCCCCCCTCCAAGTGTGAATCGACATGTGGTAGACTGGGCCGTCCCTGGGGGGGGGGGGGGGGGGGGGGGGGTCAACTGCTGGTCCCGTGATGGTCAGTCGCCGTGCATGAGTGAATCTAGCCTGAATAGCCAGCAGCAAACCTAAAACGTGTCCTCATTGCATTTATTTTTTCCCAAAAACTTTTTTACTCTAAATTTATCCAGCCCCCCCCCACCCCAAAAAAAAATCCTCCATTCACCCGCGCCATTTTTCATGTTGCGCTCATTGATTTCGTGCGCACATTCTTAAGGTGCAGTTATTTGATGCGTGACGAACAGCTGTTTCTCATAGAAGGAAGTGTTGAAAGCCGTCATCCAGCTGAGACCGTCCCTCGTGTTGTTGAAGAGTCTCTCCTCCAGGCAGGCGATGACCAGGCGATCTCTGTCCAGGTGAAACTTGTTGGCGAACAACGCGGCCGACCTCTCCAAGAAAGGGAGATCACCTGTGATGACAGATGAGAGATCTTTTAATAGGTGGCTGGCCGATTTTAATGCCTCTCTTCACGGAGCCAGGGTGTAATATTTCACAGCCTCATAATGTAGGCAGGGTGCAATATTTTACAATTATTTGACCGAGCCAGGATTCCTCTTGCTACAACTTCTTAACATTTAGGGGCCTATAAATTACAGCTGGCTCATGGAGCCAGGTTGAAACATTTCCCTGCCTTTCACGTAGCATAGTTATCTCATGTCTCTCCCCTCCCCCAACAACACACACTTTTTTTTAACGGAGCCAGCATGCCTTATGTTACAACGGCCTCACTGGGCCAGGTTGTCACATTATTTAACCCCCCTCACAGTGGTTGACACGAACACTTAATGTCTGGTTTTTGTTGTTGTTGCTTTTCTAATCTGGGGGGGGGGGGGGTAAGAGTGAAGTTTGTTCATTTTTTCTTTAAGAAGAGAATCCCGTCTCTTGTGATGGACATGAAATATTGTTGCTTTTCTAATCTGGGGGGGGGGGGTAAGAGTGAAGTTTCTTCATTATTTCTTTAAGCAGAGAATCCAGTCTCTTGTGATGGACATGAAATATGAACCCGATTTGGACAAGCTTCCAATTGTCCCTTACACCACCCAATGGTCCCTTACACCACCCAATTGTCCCTTACACCACCCAATGGTCCCTTAAACCACCCAATTGTCCCTTACACCACCCAATGGTCCCTTACACCATCCACTTGTCCCTTACACCACCCCATTGTCCCTTACACCACCCAATGGTCCCTTACACCACCCAATGGTCCCTTACACCACCCATTGTCCCTTACACCACCTAATTGTCCCTTACACCCCCCAATGGTCCCTGCACCACCCAATTGTCCCTTTACACGACCTAATTGTCCCTTACACCACCCAATTGTCCCTTACACCATCCCATATAAAACGGCGATTACTACAGAAATGATGTGAGCGTTTCACTTATTTGTAATTTAAAAAATAATGAAGTTTCAATTAGAAACTTCAAAATAATAATAATAATAATAATAATTACATTCTGAAACCTACTCTTGGGCAAGACGAGATTTTCATTTCAAATAAATATTAAATAAAGTATAGTTTACTTTTATGATTTCGCTTACCTTAAAAAAATTTCTCTTTCTTCACTACCAGTCACAGATCATATATTGTTACTTTACCGTGGACAAAGAATATATATATATTTTTTTTTTAATTGCTCACTTTATTTAGAAATTAAAAATAAAATAATAAAAAATTTAATTTAATTTTTTTTTAAATTCCGAAATACAGAAAGTATGATTTCACTGCATTTCTTTTTTTTTAAAAATCACAATGATGTACGAGCCCATAGTTAAATATTTCTGGTCCACGGTTCACAGAATATGCTGCCCAAGATAATGGTTGCACTGACCTGTGGTTAGAATACATATACCCCTGACGAATCTTCGGGCTGCGCACCGGACTCCTTGACCAAACCATTCTTTGTATCGCGTCAACGACACGTTGGCCACGTCGTCCGAGTCACCTGGGGCAAATAAAGAAAATGTTCATCTATAAGAGCACAGGTTCTTCTTGCCGGGTAGAAACTTTTACGATTCATTTTAATATAAATACAAATCTGAATAAAACAGTTATTTACTAGTCGATATTTATTCATACATATATATATATATATATATATATATATAT